GTCCATATTGTAATTCTACTTTGTTAATCTATTCTACATCTACCGTTCCTCTGTTGCTTTTCCTAAGGGTGTTCTATTTTTGCCCTATCTTAATCAGGTGTCTGAGGATAGAAGGTGTCATATCCTGTAATTCCCTTGAGATAAGGTGATATTGGGCTATATAAATTAAATGACCTTGATTATCTACAAGGCCTCAGTTCATCAAGGTCCTGCTAGTCACACAGTTGACTCACATATGTGTTTTCATTTCATCTGGTTGATCTGATGTATTCCGAATCCATATAGAAGATACTGTGTGTGAATATTTTAGTACATTATTATAGTATGCCAGAACATCACTTTTTCACATGATACCCTCTGCTTCACCACTATGGGACAAAAGAAACCAACAGGTGCCTGTGATGAATAGGTAGAGTCGCCATACTAGGAAGAAAACTATTTTCTTAATTGAGAAAGTAACTTCCGTTATGGATAAGGCTAATTGCTGTGGTACATATCTTACTGGCTAATATATATTATATATTATATATATATATATATACCATATCAGCCAAAAGGCCTCTTTCACTGCATACATTTTGACTTTTTATGGCACAGCGTGATTAATAATATTAATGATTACATGACCCAGTAAGTGATAGTGAATGGAAAGCATTGCAGCCATTGTTAATGTCATTAATTACACCTGTACCTGTTCTGCTCTGGCATATACAACAGGACTACAACATGAATGTAACTATGATAACTGATTATATGATTTGTTTAATAGAACACTCATTATAAATAAAGACGCATGTCATATCACCACAGGTGTTTTCACTTATTTTGCCCGATCAGACCTCTTTTCAGGAGTGTGTGGACCAGTATTACTGTGTTCTTTGCCCTTACTCCTTAATCATTCACCAGAACATAAGGTTTGGTGACCTCGTGTATTTATTAGAATAGACCCGCCCACCTTAAACCTGGGCAGAGGTCTAATTGATCAGAATAGGTGTGCAGAGATGTTGTTTGTGAGATGTGTGATTACTCAGTTTCAGCAAAAACTTGGCCTGTATCTTTTTGAAAGCAAATGCTGACTATTTGCAATGGCACACTAATATCTTGTTGCCATTGCATTTGAAAAACTAGGGTTTAAACAAAGGTGAAGTTCAATTTTACGAACAAACTAGGTCTGCATAGGTTGTAACTTCATTCACAGTTATCTTCATTCTTTCCATTTACTGTGCACAATTTTTTCAATTTTTTTCCCCCAAATTTTGTTACTGCCATCGTATCTGATTAACTTGGACTGCCTCTTATTTTACAACCCACACGGGATCACCTGCATTTAGTTGAGGTGCGTCAAGTTACTACAGCAAAATCACCACTTCCTTTCTTGAATTTCAAAACAAAATATTCTGGGATTTTTGTACCAACGCAAGTACCGCAGCAACACTGATAAAAACCCCAGTTGGATAGTTTCTCATAAAAAACAGTCTACTGATAAATTTCCCAAACTGTACTGTCCTCTATGTATTGTTACTATACATTGATAACTTTACACTGAAGGCCAAATCGAAGCAACTTCCGGTATCGTCCCACCGTCCTGACGCTGTGTACCGTGCTTGGTGTTAGCGGTTTAGCTAAAACAGTAGCTGTCTCAGTCGGGCATTGACCCCACTTACCGAACCAAAGAAGAACCACAGCGACCAGTTTGCATCCGTTAACCGCATTATGGCGTGACATGGTTTCTGTGGCTGCCGGTTTTCGTATGAAATCACCGTGTTTTCATGGCGAAGTGGAGAAAGTGGTTAGCTTACATTCCTGTAGAGGCAGAAGTCTGTGAACGACTGTAGAGAGTGATGGTGCGGAGCTTCAGCGACCTCTAGTGGATACTAAAGTTTAATTGATAGAAGATAGATAGATAGATTATAGATATATAGATAGAGTAGATAATAGATACTTTATTTATCCCGAGGGAAATTCAAGTATCCAGGTAGCCATACAAGACACTACGATGCAAGCTATACATATAATATAAATAAATTAACTCAAAAACACAGTAGCAATCAGGTAAACAAGTGCAAATACGCGATAAGCGAGCGGCAATCGAGCTGGAGGCTAGACCCATTGAATAAAACTGTGCCAAGGGGTGAAGGTAGACAATCATGTCCACTGATAGGGTCCGCCTTGGAGTAAGCAGGCTGTTTGGTAAGCAATCTGGGGATGCGTCAGGGACAAAGAGTTTTGTTGCTGCCTGTATGGACAGCAGTATTTCTTTCCTAGGGTCTCTCCTTCTACTACCGCGTGCCAATGTCACAGGGAGAGTCAGCTCTGCTGCCCCCCACCACTGGGCTATTGCGCGCCTCACCAGTCTGGTCCCAGGTTGGACCGGGCTGTCTCTCTTCTTGGCTGCTTCCCTCCCACGCAAACCACAGCATAAAAGAGCACGCTGGCCACCACAGACTGGTAAAACATCTGTTTTTTACAGATGTTGAAGGACCCCAGCCTTCTCAGGAAGTACAGACAGCTCTGCCATATGTGACTACCATTAGGAGATTTATATATATTAAACCAACCCAGAAGTTAAAGTGGCTCCACTTTGATCACAACATTAAATGTTGTTTACGTATTGGTTTCTAATAATCCAGTATTATAGGATAATATTACACCTACAGAGGCCATTCTGCTGCGTAATGAGTACTTTAACAGCGCTGTAAAGATCTTTTTCTTCCACCACTGATGAAAAACTGTATAATAAAGATCACACTGCATTCCTTTCCAGTCCATAAACAGGGTTATTGTCTATTAGCTCTAGTTTCACTATCACAAATATGAACATGCAGCCTTTTTCCATCCCTCCAGAGCTGAGGACATTTATCTTCACAGTGCAAAGCTTTCTGACACTCTTGTGCTATTTGTGCTCATGATTTTAATACATTTTTGTCGTATTAAAAGTTTTAAAGGTCGTGAGTTTTTTTAGTAATGCATGGGAGTTGTAAATTAACAAGTTTTTCAAACAAGCATGTGTGCTGCATAACTTAGTTTGCACACGGCTGATAGATGCCAGCTGTTAAACACGGAACTTGGTAATGCGTTACGCCATAACCTTACTTTTCCACAAACCTCCGCAATCCTGCAGACCAACAAAAGCTGCACTGACTTTAATAGCTGTACTGATCTGAGAGCAGCGGTCTACCATCCACAGCAAGGTCAGAGGTTAGCTACACAACAAACAAATAGCTTTACAAATGTTGTGTTTGGAGAAATACATTTTATTGTTTCTATGTTGTGCACATGTTTATAAGATAAGATATTCCTTTATTTGTCCCACAATGGGGAAATTCCAACGTTACAGCAACAAAGTGGATAGAGAAAAAACTATAAAAAACAGTAAGAGTAAGGGAAATACTATAATATAATATAAACACTATGTACAAGAAAAAAACAGTAAGAATCAAGAAAAAAAGAAGAGAATCGCAAACGACGATAAAACAAATAGTAGCAGCAAAAAGAAAGTTGCACATGGGCAATAGATTGCACAGTGAATATGACATGGTATTGCATGATTATTGTGTCCAATTCACAATACAAACCATCATTATTTATTGTTCCCAATATGTATTTTTTACAGTCTTATATGAGAAGGTATCCACAGAGGAGACTTGTTTTCTGTTGCAGGCCTCGCAGACTGAAGGAGACATCCAGAACAAATGAGTCAACAGTCTCCTGACCACAGGGTCTAAACATGGACTTCTTGGCCACAAAAAATTAAACCGACTGGTTCTGCTGTGAAACCACAGTTGTGAGTGTTCACATTTTTGTGGGGATAAAGTGAGCTGTACCAAAAGAAATAAGAAAGGCTGTAGCCTACTCTATAGCAGCTTGGAGGAAGCAGGAAAGTGTAAATACTGCATGTGAAGAGGGACATGCTGATATAAGTCACAACTGGGCAACAGTACATCCATGTTTTCATCCAAAAAACAGAAGAACAAGTTCTAAGCAAGTACGACACACATGCAGCACACTGACTCATAAATCTTGAACTCAGTGCTCCAGATGCTGGAGTTCACGAGTCCACCTCTTATTATTTCCAAACATCAGGACAAATGCTGCCTTCAAGTGGTGTCCCATAAAGTCGACATTCCAGCGCCATTAACCTTAATGTATAGAACAATACAGTTTTTCAGTTTGTTTGACTTTCTCATTTATTAACAATTAACAATCAAGGAGCTTTGATCAGCTAATAATCAAGTATCTAGAGCTATGTCATAGGGGCCTGTCTGTATCATGAAGGGGGGGAGGAAAAAATTAATAGGAAACATTAGACATCTTAGACATTACAAATATTGTATATATTGTATATTATTGTTTGGACTCCACATCAACAAAGTAGATTATCTGAATTATGAAAGCATAATTCTATTTGAAATGAGCAACATTTCCTTGACTTGGGTCTTTATCTTTACTTCTGTAGTTTGTTAACGTTATTAACATAGCGTTATTTTCTCCAATTAATTGATTTAAGTATTTGGTCTTTTAAATGTCAGAAAACTGTGAAAAATGTCAACTACAATTTTCCAGAGCCTTCAAAATAACTTGCTTTGTATATCTAAAGCCGCAAAGATATTTTATTTAATGCAATTATATAAAGTTTATTTGCTTGATTAAAGTTATTTGCTTGATTAAAGTTTTTTTTATTAATTGTTTTTCATTATTATAATAATAATAATAAATATTATTATTATTATATATTATTATAATACTTTTCAAATGCGATAGCTAATTAACATGTCTTGTCAACCGACATCCTCTAAAAAAGATGAATTGACCTTTACTCATGTCATATCTGACTGCTTAATGTGCATTCGGAGGATATTATTAAATATTTAACATCGTACGATGACATTATAATGGTGAACATGAAGCAGCAAGGTGTTTAATGCCCTCCCCCCCCCCCCCCCCCCCTTTAATAACACTCCAATAAAAAAGCTCCATAAATGGGATTTATTTAGGTCCAAAGGTGACCGGAAGTCTTATTGTGTAAACGCCTGTAGCTTGACGGTGGTCGGGCGTTATTAAAGCCGCACACAGAGCAGCCGCTCAGTGTTAACAGCCGCACCTCCGCAGCAGCATGGTGACAGTGACGCCCGTAGAAGAGTTCCTGGACAAACCTCCGGCCGTCTTCTCCGTGAAGGTCCAAGGGTCTGGATACCAGGTCCACAGCGATCCGGAGGGGAGCCTGGTGCTCATCGATGACTCGGACTCCTGCAGAGGGAAAATAGTTTTCCAGAACTCGCTGGGAAGGTGAGAAAAAACCCTCATAAACACGTGTATGTTCACATACGCAAAGAAATGAATCTTAAACTGCCTTGATGAAACAGGAAAATTAAAACGCACAATCTCTGGGAGTACACCAGCACTAGGAAGAGTCTGCTGTCCAAGAGGATCTATCTGCTCGTGTCTGCCTGCGAAGAAACCTCAGTGACCAGCAAAAAGGCAGCCAATGAACCCAGAGGTAACTGTCCATCCATTATACTAGTGCAAAGACTTCAGCATGACTTAGTCACTCAAAGTCTAATTTGTTGTAATTACACAGTTTAAAAAAAAAAGCTCTTCAAAGGCACCACTGGCATTTTTCAGCCTGTATTTTTGAACCCAGTGTGTACTCTTCAGCTCTATGCTGCTAACTGTGTCATGCTGTTTGGTTGGCCATGGGTGACTCATGCTGGCTTCTAAACTTCCATTTGCGAACGGGTGGAGTGGAGAAAATTACAATGACAGCACAGTGCTTAATGGCACATGACTTCATGTTCTTCTGGCTCTCTCTCTTCCTCTCCCCCCGTTTTCCCCATGAATGATCAGTGCTGCAGCGGTACGTGGTGTCCATCGATGGCAACAATCCTTTCATCAAGTGGCAGATGGAGAGAGGCCTGGACTGGACCATCTCCTCTGTCGCTGGGGAGAGCTACGTGGTGGATGTAAGCAGGACTTTATGGTCACTTTTATGTAGTTGAGTGTGTTTTTTTTGTGTGTGTGTGATTATTAGTTGATTGAGAAATGACTTTTCTTTTTCTCAGATTGACTTGACTGAACTAATGGAGAGCTGGGCAGCAAAAAACCTCACAACAGACAAACTAATACAGGTCAAACATGTGTGGAGAGATGCCACCTTCACTCTTAAATACTATTCTGATGCCTGCTTTGACCTCCCATTCTGGTTCGGCTTCAGCAAAAGAACATTCAAGGTCAGTGTGGCTTGTTCTTCTTATCCCTTTCCGTATTTGTGAGTGTACACGGGAACATCTTCTAACTTATCTTATCTGCTCTTATCTGTTACAGTTGAGACATGAGCCAGCGGTGGATGAAGAGCAAGTTTATCCGTTCAGTTTTTGAAAAGTTTCTTGATCAGTAGACGAATGGTGTTACGCCAACCTGCCAGGTGAAGGAACAGCCTACCTCTTAGGACTGCAAGGACTACCTTTTATAATTGCTGTTTGGGTCCAGATATTTCTACTGTTCAGTGGGTGGAAACCACTAACAAGGACTTATGTGGAAATTCTGAATGCCATGAAGATTGTTTAGGCAGATTCTGTGTCGAAATGGATTTTTTAAAACCCTTTTTATATGATTTACAATTATTGTATGATTGGTTGAATCTGTTCTACTGCAGAATCAAAGATTTGTAGACGTTTGTACTTAAAGGTCCAGTGTGTGACA